AATGTTTTGACGCGATCACTTCCGCTGTGCTTCGAGCACTCGACGAGAGCCATCGATCGGGACGTCCCAGCTCACCGGCTTTATTTGCACGCAGGCGGCCGGTTCAACATCACGGCCGTCGCGCCCGCGTACCTCAAGTGGCAGGAGATGGCGTCGCCCTTGGGCAAGCCCGCCGCCCGGGGCCTCGAGTGCCTCGCGCTCGGCGCGCAGCTCGTCGCGTGCCTCGACCTCGAGCCCGAGGACGCGATGGACCCGCGCGCGCCGCACATGCGCCTCCGGCGCAACGAGCGCGGCCGGGGCGACGACGACGGCGCGGACGCCTTCGTCGCCGCGCACTTCAACCGCACGCACGTCCTGCCGCTCGAGGTCCTGAGCCTGCTGCCCGGCGGCCCCGTGGCGCCGGTCCTGGCCAAGCAGCCGAAGAAGTTGATCCACGCGCTCATCGTCGCGGGCACCATGGACATCGTCGTGGACATCCTCAAGGAGATCAAGGGCATGGTCTTAATAGACGGGTCCTGGCGGATCGTCGCGACGCCCGACGTGCCCTTCGCGCACAAGTTCGCCGCCGCCTACAAGGCCTACGTCGGCCGGCTGGGTCCGGCGTCGGGCTGCGAGGCCGACGCCGTCGCGCACGCGGGCGACGCGCACGACATGGACCACACGCTCCAGACGGTCGTCGTGGAGCGGGGCGCGGGCGCCGTCGTCCCGCGCATCAAGGTCCTCGAGATCGGGCCGGGGGCGGCCGCGCGCGGCGTCGCGACCGTCGAGCGCATGACCGTCGCCTCGGTCGTGCTCGCGCTCGCGCGGTTGCCGCCGGCCGGCGCGGTCAACGAGCTCGCCAAGCTGCCGTCGGAGATCGACGACCTCGCCGCGCGCATGAAGCGCTGCCTCGCGATCAAGCTGCCGGTGGGCGACGAGTCGGACGCGGCGGAGTCGCCCGCGGCGGCCGGCGGCGCGAGCGCGGAGCGCACGGCCTTCGGGCGGGACGTGCTCACGGCGATCCTGCACGCCGACGGCGACTGCTTCCGCGTGAGCGACTGGATGCAGAAGTCGAGGGTCAAGGCCCTCAAGAATCGCATCGTCGACGGCGGGCCGGGCGGCGACATCGAGGTCGTCGTCGACGGCAAGTCGGAGAAGCTGCTCGCCGCGGGGTCCGGGGCGCTGTTCCGCGAGGTCGTCGACGCGGGGCTGGGCATGGTCATCGACGTCAGCACGCCGTCGACGAATGACACCAAGCGCGGCAAGCGGGCCGTGCCGTTCTTCCTCAAGTACGGCCTGCCGTCGACGCCCGACGAGCTCGCCGAGGTCGAGAACGCCCTCGCCGAGCTGACCGGCGGCGTCGTCACGCTCTCGT